CGCAGATGCGGCGCGGGTGCGAGCGGTCGCTCTTCCAGCCACCTATTCCATTGAATCAAAGGGTAGATATATTCAGTCTTTTATGATGAAAAAAACTTACTGATTCTCATGTCTCATCATCCTATAGATGTCAAATTGGTAATCCCCACTTCCCGTAAACAATTCTTCGTCAGCTTCAAGATCACGATAAAGTGTCGTTCCTTCTGAAAATCGCCAGCTGACTCTATCAGTGGACGAAGAAAGTCAAGAAATAGCCATTAGAACAAACCTTTACGCATTCGGCTCAAAGTAAAGTCGATAATATTCACTTTAACACCATACGAGCGCAGGACCATAGTGCCACCCTTTACCTTGTACCTGCAATGAGAAAGTTTGGGGTGAAAAGCTCCATTTAAAAAATTTTTACATACTCTAGGTCGGCATCCTCTTCAATCACCAGAACATTTCCGATGTGCAGGTCACGGTGCTCGAACTCTAGTCTGTCCTCGGCCACGAGCAATGATATTGCCACTTGGAGTAAAGTCGATAGAACCTGATCTTCATTTTTCATCTAAAATTAGAACCAATTATGATCGGTAGCTCGCAACTCACATAATAACCGGAAATATACCTGATAGTGCTCCAAATCAGTGCCACCCATAGCCATTCCAATTGTGACGAATAGCTGCTCATCACTTGCATAATCGGTAGGGCGATCATTTTCTGACTCCCTCTCCTCATCATACTGATCCCACGCACGAAGAAAAGCTTCAGGATACTGACCTGAAATCTCGCTGAGCTTTTCGAAAATCAGAAAGCTCTCGAACATCACAGTCGTGATATGTGATAGCTTACCTCTAACGACATTAACCTTAAGCAACTGTATGAAATTTGGCGTGCTAAAGTCGGATACGGGGTCATTCAGAGCCGACAATTCTCTATTTGTCAGAATCTAAAAGTTGAAAATTTTTGAAAGAAAGAACAAAATACAACCTATGCGGCTTATCATAAAATACAAAAGTTTTTAAAGAGAAGGACAAAGATTCAGCTAAACTTTAGGGCACTGGATCGGCAAAATGGACCCTAGCCAGATTTTGATAGCGTTAGCTTAGTAGACCCTTCAAGTACACCAGTGGCCCATCCCCACCCTCCGAATCAAGCGCTGTGTTTTGAAAATCCGCTTCAAACTTCAAAC